ACAACATTGCTGATGAATCCGTAGCAAACACAAACGAAAATGCTTATTTGATGCCATTTCCGATCGATTTAGCAAAAAAAAGGAGAAAATGTTAATAAAACAATCTTCGAAAGTTCAAAAAATGGTGAGAAAACCTTGAAAAAACTGGAAAATTAAACTACGTGCACACAATGAATATCACACAAACGAAAAAAACGTTATTCTCAAGCAAAAACTGACCATTTTAGGCCATGCACATCCACTTTTAAACCCATGGGGTCCTATATACTGTGATACTAGAACTGCGAGAAAATGAAAAAAAAAGCGAAAAAAATGAAGTCCCAATTTCGTTCAAAAAATAAAAAATGTCCGTTTTGACGAAATCGTAGTTCTCCTCCCTCTCCTTACACTTCTCCTTTCTTGACACCAACCTGCGCTCTGTGCTCAACGTGAGAAAGATACCAATCTACCAGAAGCTCCTCGTTCGTCTCTACATCCCCCTCCTCTTCCTAGATTTGATATTCCTGGCCTCACTCCTCTCCTTTCTCCTCTTCCTATCTCGCCTGGCTGCTGCTCCGACTGATGTTGCTGCTTGTCACTCCCGTCGTTTTCAATGCCCGCCAACAGATCGTGCATTCATGGAGCACGTCGCCGTCTGAGCTGGTCTCAGAAACAACGGACACGTTGAAGCGGGATCGAGATCTTTCTGGGCATCACTGACACTGAGGCACATGATACAGCGCTCGTTGGCAATCGGATCGAACTCTGAGGGATTAATTGTCTGCGGTCGACAAACAGACACGTGGAAAGTTCCAGCTCGGACGCGAAGTGCCCGGGCGGCTGAGGGTTCAAATTCCACTATCGACGTGGACAGAGTTTGTGAACAACCGGTAGTTCTGTACATGCTGTGCTGACAATCGATTAGGATATTATAAAACGCTATTACCTAACATTATGTTTGTCAGTAGATCGTGTCGCTGTCTAGAAGGGCTTTTTTGACGAAGCGCGCCGATTTGCTACTTACGTTCAAAGCAGGGAAAATCATACTTACACCCCCCAGCAAAACCTTTTTGTTTACACAGCACTGAAGGGGGCAGAAAGTACAGCATTAAACGGGGCAGAAAGTGTGTGAGGCCCTATTCTCGTCATTGACTCATTGTTATACCCCTGTGCGGCCTGACAGAACTTTCCCGCC